TCGAGTACTTCCGGAGTTTATACTCCTTCGAACGTAAGTATAAAGGGAACTATATCTTATAGACCTATTAATTGAACTGCTCTATATACTCGGGTTTCTAAAGATACGCCTAGCTAGCCTTTTCGAAGATTTCCGGGTTAATACTCGATGTTCTTATGTCTCCGAATAACCTTCTGCTTAGACTCCGTAAAGGTAAGGACTAGGTAGTAGTACCCTATAATGAATTCCTACTACTAGGATTCGGAGAGGATAAATCTAGCCCTAATCGTCGTCTAGGACTCGATAGGCTCGAAGGTAAGTATGCGACCTCCTCTCGACGTTGTCGTAATCTCGCTCGTATACTAGACTGTTTCGACTATCGTCTCGTTGTTACCCTTCCTAGTATAGCGCCTAGTGTATATACAATGTCGGTCGGCATGTTTTAAGGTTTCGTACGGTAAGGTAAGGACTTAGGAGTAGTAGATATATACTAGTAGCTATAGAGAAACACCCTTTCTTTTATAGCATCGTATCGTTAGGAATAGCTAGGTAGTAAATAGCTAGTTACCTTTTTTTTTTGTTTCCTAGCTACCTAACTACTAGATTTTTTTTCCTAGCTACCCTAGCTAGCCTAACTACTAGAATTTCTTTCCTAGCTACCCTAACTACCTGAATTTTGCCTTCTATACGGCGGCTCTCTCCTACTAACGGAACCGAGCTACTATACCTAACGAATCTAAGCTCGTTTTTAGTCTTAATCCATCCTCTTTCGGTATAAGATACTCGATAAGCAAATGCTTAGGCCGAGTCTAACTACGAAACCTAAGACTAACTAATAGCTCTATTAACTAATCCTAATCCTCGACTCCTTCCGCTTCTTAGTAAAGACCTTAAAGAGCGCTCGAGCTTCTTCGGGTGCCTACGGAGTAGTCGAGATAAAGCCGTATCGCTGAAATAGGTAATCCTTCGGAGGCTTATATAGAGATTTAGAGAATTCCAACGCTAACCTATCCTACTAGTAGCTTAGATTCCGGATACAAGCCCTCTCTGCCTTAGTAAAGATTTTATATAGTAGTAGCACTCTACCTTCGAGAAACGCTTTCTATTTAACTGTTAGTATCTGCCGGCTACGAACGCCGGCTATATATGCCGAGTATAGAATAATTACCTATACCCCTTCCTCCTATAGTAATACTTCTGCCGTCCCTAGATACCTAGCCCCGATCGCATTAATCGCAAGCTACTTTGCCTTTATAGACGTAAAGGCTTCGCTTTAATACTAATAAAGAAACTTCTACTCTATATCGAGGATATAAAGACGACTAGTCTCGATTCCAATCCTTGCTAGCTTTTCGTAGTAGCTTTGACTATAATTTTCTAGATTAATAGGACTTATGCCTTAGCCCTTTACTAGTATCTCGTCTCTTTAACTGTACTCGATCTACTCCTAGCGCTTATCGTCTATAGCGTTAGGCCCTAAGACTGCACCTATTACTAGATCGACGTATAGTATCTCCTCGCTTTTTTTAGTTCCTTTATTCGTAGTATTAAGCTCTGTCGCGGTATCCTAAACTCTAGTATTGTTGTTCTCGGCTATCTAAACATCTCCGTTACTATCGGTCGTATCGATAGAGGTAGCGACTATAGGTCTAAATGCTATTAGTTAACGTATTAAAGAAAAATATGCCGGCTATAGCTGCCGGCTACGGCTGCCGGCTATAGCTGCTAGCTATAGCCGCTAGCTAGATTGACTTACGCTACTAGAACTTTACGCTCGAAAACTAGCCGTAATTCTTTCCTCCTCTTAGCCTTCTCTTAGGTTGTCTTCTTATTCCAACCTTTACTTTTTTCTATAGGCGCTAGCTATCGATAGAATGCCTTATTCCGCGCCTTTCTTCTCTTATCCTTAGCTCTTTTATCCTTATCTATCTTGTCCTTTCTCTCGCGGTCTCGTACGGAATTCTTCTTCGTAGAGTACTCCTCTTTAGTCTTACGCTTTTTAGTTAGACGCTTAGGCAAAACAAACTCGCGGTCTTTAGTTCTATCTTCTATTTAGCGCGCGGCGCGCTTCTCTCTTGCTATTGTAAGGGAAAGGGGCGGGGGCGTAGCGTATAGTAGTTGTTGTCGGTATAGGTATAGAGGAAGAAGTTGAAAGTATAAGAATATCGCGAAGCCCTAATTGTTGCCGCCTACGTAACGTTATATAGGTAAGCTTTCGTAACTACAGTAACTACGCCCCGGCAATAGCAACTACGCCCTAGTAACGGCAACTACGCCCTAGCAACGGCAACTACGCCCTAGTAACGGTAATAAAGCGTAGTAAATACAACCTAGTAACTATTATAGCCGGCAATCGTAGCCGGCAGTCGAATAAGAGTGTCCTTATAGCAAAACCACGCCCTAGCAACGGCAACTACGCCCTAGCAACGGCAAAAGAGCGTAGTAAATATAATAGAGTTACTATTATAGCCGGCAATCGTAGCCGGCAGTCGAATAAGAGTGTCCTTATAGTAAAACTAATATAGTCTCTAGTTTAAACTAGGAATCTATATAGTTCGAAAAAACCAAACCGGAACTAGGGAGCTAGTTCGCCGCTAAGAAACCAAACTATATACGTTTAGTAGTTCGGAAACCGAACCACTACGGGGTCTAAACGAGACGCGTCGTAAACTATTCGCTATTACGTTAACTAGGGCCCGAGGATGTAAGACGATGTTTCCTACTACCTAAACCCTAGTATAGGTAGATAAAACAATTAAGAAGGTATATAGTAAAAACTACGATCGATTACTAGCTTTACGTACAATAGTACTATAGCCGGGTAGCTATATACTATCGAGAGACGTAGTCTAAGCAGTCGGTAGAGATCCCGATATAACAGCATCGAGACTAATATTAGAATAGTTACGAGAAGCTATACGAAAGGAGCGAGGCTATATTAATACCTATATCCGATTGACCTTAATAAACTAAGCACCGATCGCAATAACCGACACTCTAAAAAGGATAGTATACGCTAAGAGGATGCTCGATAACTAAATCTTCGAGTGCTACGACGAGAAACTAGTAAGACCCTCTCTAAAATAGTATAGTTACTAGATAATAGCTAACGGTCGACATATACTACGCGCTACCTTAGTAAGCTTATATACAAATGTCTAGCGGATATGCTACTCTAGTAGGATCGGCGAGGCTAGAAGATATATATCAAATAGTACTACTACAAAGTTACCCCTTTTATAATATTGTCTACCGCTACGGTACTCGGTAGAATACTAACCGGATAGTCGATAGAGTCGCATTTAACTAAAGTTAGAGGTAAAGCGATCTAGCTAGCCCTAGATTACAAGTTAATACACTAGCCGTTCCTAGATCGGATAACTGCGTAGAATGCGACAGATTAAGCTGCTCGTAACCTTCGGTTGTCGAAAGCGTAGAAGATATACGCACGGTATATAGGCAGAGCATAGGATACCCCTAAATTATTAATAAATAACTTCGAGAGCGTACGTAACGACATCGATACACTTATAGCAATCGACGTCGTTTTAGATTCTAACGATAAAGGCGGATCGATCGAGCGCTATAGTAAGAGTAGTCTACGAGCGCCGTATTTCTCTTACCTACTAATATAATCGACAGGTCCTAAAGCGTCTACTAGGTAATAATTAAGTAAACAACTCAAAGCCGGCGACAATACGATAGATAGGTTAGCGGAGGCGGAGGCCCTACCTAAGAAAAACGATATTAGACTGCCTACACTATAGAGCAGTTTCTAAGCGACAGATTAGGAGCCGACGGGGGCTGCTAATCCGTTTGCTTCGGTACGGGGAGGCAACGGCATAAGTGCAACCGAGATAATAGAATATAATAGAACCGAAGACAATTAATACTAAAGGTATAGATATACCGCGGTAATAGCAATAGGGAAGGATTGCGCGCTAATTACTATAAGAATAGTAGGTATTCCGACTAGTCTTATATAATAGACAAGACTTTATTCGCGGCGGTAAGTAATCGCGTTAGGGATATATTAGAGCTAGAAGAGGGGGAGTAGATATAGTAGGCGGATATAGAGGCGGACGGCGGCAAAGTTAAGAAGATAGTATTTAATAAGGAAACGTAGGATCGAAGAATTAGGAGATATATAGTAAAAGAGAAGAAGAAGTCGAAAGGAAACAAACGAAAGAAGGTAGAGGTATATCGCTTTAATATAGCCGTAGAGGACGAATAGAATACATTCTTGTTAACTATAATAAATAGATGCCCTATACAATATAACGAAATCTATTAATACTATACGAGTCGGTCGCTAAGTCGGTACTAACTTAGTATACGTAGTAGACGTATACAAATGCTAGTAGTTACCCGAGTATGCGTATAAACGTTAGATGTTAGTAGAAGCAACTATCGTATAATATACAGATCCGATAGAAAATGTAATTTAAATGCTAGTACTAGCATATACGACGACTCGAGCCCGACTCGATATACGAGTCGGACGGTAAAGAACAAAATTCTTAATACGAACAGATTTGCTAGAATTTCTAGATCGCGACGATCCTATTAGACAAGATCTTTAACGTACGATCCTAAGGATCCTAAGGATCCTAAGGATCCTAAGCGATCCTATCGACAGGATCGTCGCGATTAGTAAAAAAGTTTCCGTAATGTAAAAACATCCGGCTTCGCTCGGATAATAAGTAACTTAAAGTCCGAAAATACTTAGACTATTAATCGCTAGGCTTAGTTAGCCTTATATATTAAGAGCGACTCGCAATACTAGCTGTGCTTTTATATACCCTCTTTTACTAAGAACCGAATGCTAGCGTTTACTATCCGAGTAGAAGATTGCAACTTAATATAGGTATAATATGCTTCTCCTATCTAATAAAATAGTAGTCGCAAGGGTCGGAGGCTCTTCTATAGGGTATAGATAGTATACTCTAATTAAGCGAGATAGCGGACGGGGGCAATTCCCGTAGACAGTAGCTAGCTTAAAGACGTTAGACGTGAACTTTTTAAAAAGGCGGATAATTTCTTTAGGTAGTACGCTAGCCTTAATCAGTTAGACCCCGTTTTCAGGGATTACCCCCTTCCGCCATCTCGCTTAATTAGTAGCACCGAAACCTTAGAAGAGGGCTTAGTTTCCTGCGAAGGCTGAACCGTTGCCATCTCCCATTATTGTGTGGAACCTAGGCCTTCGCATGCTTCTCAAACAGCTTCTCCACCATACCCCGACAGATCGGATGATAGAAGTCCTTGTTCTTCTCGAAAGTCTTTTTCGCGAGCTCCGGATCATTCTTGATGAGCTCTCTGTACAATGGACGAACGAACTTCATTCTGCCGACTTCACCGAGAAGCTTGGCAGTGGGCTCAAACACGCTCTTCGCACCAGCTTGTAGGCCAACGACGAAGTATCGAGATACGAGCTCAACGTTCTTGCTGCTTGCAAACGAGTATATGTCACCCATCACATCGACAAGATCTGTTTTCAACGGCTTCTCCCAAGTCTGCACGGCTTCTAGGAACACGACGCTCTGATTGCTGTTGAATTCTGCGATATCCTGCTTGCTGGGCTTGAAGTCTGACTTACTCTCGTTGAGAGCTTGCCATTCCTTGGCTAGAGTGAGTGGGATGTCGGCCAACGTCGTGTCAAAGCTGGGCTTCAGAGGATAGCCAGGCTTGTAGAACCAAGTGTCCCAATCGAGATCATTGAGCTTCTTCGATGCCTCTTGGTCAGACTCGAAGAACGACAAGAGTGTAGCCTTGAACTCGTAGCTGTCGACACTTCGCTTCTTGAAAGTTGTGAAGTAGTGAGGAATGAAACGGTCCCACTTCTCTTTCCCGATCAGCTTCTCGAGATGATACAAGAAATTGAAGCCCTTCTCGTATGGCACAGACGAGAAGGCATCGTCTGGATCTTTGCCGCTAAGGTCAGGAATGAGTTTCGTAAATTCGTGATCTTCGCCAAATTGCTCGATGCTGTCTGTAAGCGCCTTCCACCCAATAATCGCTGAGAAATCACGGTGTTGATCGCCGCCATGAATGTCGGCTTGCAAGCGACGCTCGAGGTAAGTGGTCCACCCCTCATTTAGCCAGAAGTGTTCCCATGAAGCATTGCTGACCAGGTTGCCAGACCAAGAATGGCTCAACTCGTGTGCAATGACATCAACATTCTGTCTATCGCCAGACACGACAGTTGGTGTTGCGAAAGTATAGATAGGATTTTCCATGCCGCCGTAGGGGAAGCTAGGTGGGAGGACAAGTACATTGTACGTCGTCCAGGCGTAAGGATACACGATCTTCTCGGCGGCCTGGATGTAAGCCTCGGTATCCTTCTCGAACTCCCACTGGCTAGCCTTGAGCTCTTCTGGTCCTGTCCACACTGTCGACCGAGGACCAATAGAGGCGGATGCTAGATCGCCGCTTGCCAGCGCAAACAAGTATGACGGGATTGGAATGTCCTGATGGAATGCATACAGAAGAGTGCCCGGCTTGCCAGTTTCGCCTGGTCGGAAGTCTTTGACTCCTGCTGGAAGTCCAGAGGCTAGCACGGGCAGAGGGGATCTGATGTTGAAGCTGTATGTGGACTTCACGTCGGGCGTATCCTGACAAGGGAAGAGCGATCGAGCATGAATGGCTTGGCATTGCGAGAACATGTAAGGATGCTTCCTATTGCTGGTCTGGGCAGGGGTCAGCCATTGCAATGCAGTGCAGTCCTTCGTCGTGTTGACTCCGATGCGGAGCTTGAGTATCGGGCTGGAGGATTGGCGATGCTTCTCCTCGACATTGATGGTCAGTGGACTTCCATATGGCTCAATCCTGGATTTAGCAAGTTCCCATCGAGCTTTTTCCCCCTCGACTTCGACGCCGGTGATCTCGAGATGGCTGGTATCGAGAATGACTTTGGTTTCCGTGGCACGCTTCTCCAACTCCAGATGCACCACGCCCGTCAAGCGCTTGGAATCGAAATCGACATCAAAGTCTGCTGTCGTGTGCCTCGTCCGCCAAGCATTGTAGTTGGACAGCGTGTTTGGATCTCGAGGAGCGTGGATGGTGGCGGCAGCCTCTTTGGCCACATGGTCTGGTGCTTTTCTGATTGCCATGTTGGAGAACGACTTGCATAACAATGACAATGACAATGCGAATGAGAAAGTGGTGTGCAAGGGAGTGGGAACAGTTGATCTGATCAAGGGTCTGCAGGCCAAGCGAAACGTAGTATTCATCGGAACACCATCGATCTACTGCCTTTGACCCAGCATTTACGGGTTGTAGCAGTCAAAGGTGCAGTGTTGGCAGCGCTCCGAGATGTCGGGAGAATGGTCGAGAAAGGGAGGTGTTATTATCGAGCCTCGGCAGCACTTGCCCGCTCAGCTTGTTTTGGTTTCGCTTCTTCGCGTCATCCACATCACCACCACAATCACGCGTCGCCCACGTCGAAACCACTACTATCATCAATAGGAATGCGCTGAGGGAGGGAACCAATACATGTGGCAGCCATGGCACGACTGCGCAATCATCCGGCGTCGCAAGCGAGCACCAAAGCCGCAATGCCAGCGACGCGACAGGCTCTGAAGGAGAAGACCAACACGGCGAAAGTCAATGTACCAGTCTACCCCGATGATAGGGACACGGAGGGCCTGGTCAAGGACGCGAAGCCAAAGCGTGGGCGACCGAAGAAGTACAAGCAGAATGAGGATGAATTGGTCATGGCAGGTGGTTTGGGGCCGATGAGTGACAAGAGCGCCAGCCAGCCAGCTGAAGCGCCATTGACCACAGATGAGCTGGTCGAGAATAAGACTGCCTCCGCTGCGGCACCAAAGACAAATACCCGGCCCGCGCGCACTACACGAAAGATTGTTCAGAGCGAAGCGTCGAGCAAGGTGCTTCAAGGACTGAAAGAACGAATGGAAGCGACTGCGCGCGGCCAGCGTGCGAAACCACTCGCTACAGCAATCCCATCAGACGTGGTGGTAACATCATCTGACCCTCTATCGGTCAAAGACAACGTGCGAACATCGACCACTAATGCCGCGGAGCCATCTGAACCCTCCTTAACACCTTCGCCCCCACCGCCCGGAAAGCTCAGCGCGGTGAAAGGAACTCGTACCTCGATCATTCCACCCGCCTCTATCATGAAGACACACAATACTCCACTCGTCGAAAGCAGCATACTTGCGTTGAAGAACTTCAAACGCAGGCCGCGTCAGCCAAGCATGCTCCAAATGGTTCAGCAGAGGACAGCTAGTGCGCGACCTTCTCTGGTAAACGCTACCAACATCATTGTGGACGATAATGCTGTCGAAGACTCGAGTCTCCTTGATCTTGACCTGGATGGCGAGGATGAAGATGAAGACGACTTTGCGCCAGAAGCCGAAGGCACTCCCTTGAATGCTGGTAAAGTCGTGCGAAGCTCCGTCGGGAGGGCTAAGAGGAGAACTTTGAGCCAATCGAAGGCGCAGGAGAGGCAGTCGAGCTCGTCAACGCAGAAAAAGCGAAAGTCTGATGAGGCAGACGTGTCCTCTGGATCGCTTAGCGCTCTCAGAGCGAAAAGGCAGAAGATGGTGCCTGACTCTCTGCAAGATGAATACGAAGCGACTCAACCCGGGCAGGATGAGCTTGATGAAGAGATTGTGATTAGGTCCTCCACCGCAAGAGCTGACACACCTCAACCAACATTGACTTCCGACGTTCAAGTCGAGAATTCACCATCGGTTTCAACGCCTCCTTCAGATCCGCCACCATCACGGCAGGATTATCTGGCCAAAGGTGGCAGTTTCATTGTTCCGTCTACTGAAAGGGAGGACGACGAGGAAGCGGACGTACGGCCGAGCGTTGAACGTGATGAAGGAGATGCTGATGACGATGTGCCTAATGCGACCATGGCCGATCCGTTGAGCAGCAGCCCACTACATAACACTTTCAACAATGAACAAGGTGAAAAAGACTTTATGCGACCACCGGCCACCCAGATATCTCCCGAGCCGGTCAAGAGGAAGTCGAGAGCCAAGTCCAAACCTGTGAAAACCGCAACGCTGCAATCAATGCTTCCCAGGAGGAGACGTGCACTCAAACCTCGCCACCGGAAATCGGAATTCGATTTCGAAGAATCTGACGAAGACTCGGACGCGCCTTTGCAGACGAGCCATCTCGATGTTGATGAAGATGAACTTGGAGGGAGAATGCGAAACCAAACGAAAAGCGTGCAATATACCGGTCGAAAGAATGCGTCCACGAAAAAGAGCAAATCATCGAAGACGACGCAGACGACAACCAACAAACCCGCCAAAGCCTCCGCCGCCACGAGTAAGAAACAGCAAAAGACGTATAGTCGCAGACTCGAGGAATCCGACAAGGAGAATGAAGGCTCAGACTTTGAGGATGCCGAAGAGTCCACACTCCCGGAAGTATGCTTATCAATGCAAGAAGTGGTCAAGTCAAAGGAGTTGGAAGCTGCGAAGGCCAAGTTCGCCGACATTGACGATTGGGATATGGAGTTCGAATCGATGAGTGCTGAGCTTCATCGCAGCTCGAGCCAGAGTTGGAGATGATGAATCACACCACCGGTGTATTGCATCGACGTGGAATCATGAATGAAGAATGAATGCAAGGTGATGGACATGGAAGTGCAGCGGACAGCTACTAGTGAAAAGAAATCAAACTTGCTGGAGTGAGTGGTGGGTATTTCGTGTACCTGTAGCAAAAAAAAAACAATCCTTTTTTTGTGGTCTCGTGCTCGTCTAAAAAGGGAATGAATGAATGAATGGAAAATGCTTTTCGACCTACCTGTCTACGCTCCTTCCTTTCTTCCCACTAGAACCACGTGGTTTCTTTGCATGTCGTCGTCGGGTCCCCCGTCGGCTCGCTTCTCGCCAATTTGTGGATTCATTCGGAAGGAAGGAAGGAAGGAAGGAAGGAAGCCGAATAAAGAAAGCGAGAGGAGAGAGAACCGAGACAGACGTTGTCAGGTAAGGCCTTGAATACCTCGCGCTCAATTATCTATAATTGAGGCGTCTTATCTATAAGACGAGTAGGTCTACTATAAGACGCGTTAAATACCTATAATCCATTCAATTATAGATCTTATCTACAAGACAGTCCAATTATCTATAATCTACCTCTTTAGACAGGCTAATTCTAAAAGTAGCCTTTTAGCAAGACAGGCTTGCTTTTATAATTAAACTACTAAAGAGCAGGCGCCTATTCCCGTACGGATATATCTCTATCCGGTCTAGTATAGTATATCTCGCTCTTTCTTACAGTTGTCGTAGAAGTAGGTATTTTATAGGGTATATAGCTAGAATAGACGATTTCGAGGAGATAGAGGCGGATCTCGAGGACCTCGTACTATGCCTATTAGTCTATATAGTACTTTAGATACTTCGTTTATTGCTAGACGAGACGGAGCGACTACGCTATCGACCGAAGGGTATAATATCGACTCTCGTAGCGCTAGAGTTAGGCTCGTAGTAGACGTAGATTATACTAGTTAGACCGCCGGAATACTGCTATAATACGACGAGGCTTCGACAGCCTGTTCTTAAGGCGTTAGTAAGCACCTTTATAGAAGAATACGACCTTACCGGCGGTCCGCGAATTAGTCCGGCTAAATAGGTAGTTATATTCCTTAATATAGCGGCGTACGGTATAACTTATAGTTAATTGCGGCGGATATATTAGCACTCGTTATTAAGCTATCGAAGAGCTATTCTTAAAATTAGTCGGTTGTTATATACGTTGTTTCGAGATAAGTCGCGGCAACCTAATAGAAGCGAAGGTATACCGAGTAAGATATCGGACAACCCTAAATTCTAGCTATACTTCTTAGGTTGTATAGGTGCCCTTAATAGCACTTACGTACTATTTAAGGCCGTAAGGGTAGCTAATCTAGGCGCATACCGCAATCGTAAAGATAGTGTTTCGTAGAATGTGCTTGCTTGCTACGATTTTAACGGCTATATAATATATATATTGCCTAGATAGGAGGGCTCGGCGGCGGATAGTACTATACTACAAACGGCGGTTAGAAGAGGGTTAAGGATACCTAAAGGCAGGTTCTACCTCGCCGACGGTAGCTACTCGAAGAACCTTAAGTATATATTAGTTCCTTACTAAAGGACGCGATACTACCTTCGAGAATAGTATACCTCCGAGTTAAAGCCTAAGCGGAAGGAAGAGCTATTTAATCTACGCTATTCGTAGCTTCGTAACTATATCTGTTAAGGAACGAGTAAGTAAATAAATAATATTAAGTTGCTAGCTATAGTCGACGAAGCGTAGAGAGGGAAGTTCTCTCGTAAACGCGGAAGTTAGGTATATTAAGTTGATACCTAAGGCATTAATGCTAAGACCTAGCTATAGAGGGCTAGCTTCTAGCCTGTCCGTAACACTACCCCCCTCTAGGGCAGCCGCTAGCGACAACGTAGCAGCGGCGGCAATGCTATAGACGCGTATAGCAGCGGCGGAAGTAGGGAGGGTAGGTAGGACATTGCTAGAGCGTAGCTTATTTAGATACCGTACGTAGAAGTTAGCGACTGCTTTAGTCGCATTAGCGACATTGTCTACTATTATCTATAAAGCCTCGCTCTTATCGTATCCTAACTAAAGGACCTTGTATTTAAATACTCTACTCTTACTTCTCTTCTTGCTAAACTAGCGTAAATTAATAATGCCTTCGACTTCGTACTTAGTCTCTCTATCGATATTAACGGGCGGCGGAGGTGCATTGTCTTATCCTAGTATCGGCGAGGATCGCGGCATCGGTAATAATAGTAAAGCGTAGAACACGTCGTAAATCTTTATCGACTAAGGTAATTCGAGCTTGTACGCATACGGCGATATTACTTCGATAATGCGGAAAGGTCCTACTTTACGTTATTCGAGTTTCGGGTTACACTCTATGTTTATTCCTTTTAAAGAGAGGAAGACCTTATCGCTAACGTCGTAAGCTAGGTGCGGGCGGCGTTCTTTGTTAGTAGTGCGTTCTATTTCCGCTTAGGCCTATCGTAAGTAGCGTACGGCTTATTGCTCTAACTTATAAGCTCAACGAACGAAGTCGACTACTACTAGTTCCGTACCCGGAGGTACATTATCGAGTTTAATACCTATACGAGGGTTATAGCCGTAGCAGGCGTAGAACGGCGACATGCCGATAGTGTCGGAGCGCTAGTTATTGCCTACAAACTCGGCTATAGGAAGCTACTAGGTCTAGTCGTTACCGCTATAATTCATATATGCTCGTAGGTACGCTTCCGTTGTGCTATTAAACCTCTCCGTCTGCCTATCGGTCTATAGATATCGAGCAGTCGATAGCTAGAGCTTAGTATAAGTAAGCCGATAGAGAGCGCGCTAGAATTGTAACACAAACTATAGGCCTCGGTCGGAAGTTATTGTTCTCGGGTAGCTATAATGTTTCTAGACGCGGTCTAAGAAGACTTTAGCTATATCTAAGGCCGTCGTATGCTTCTTAGTTATAGCGATAAGGTGTCTTATTTTCGTAAGCCGGTCTATAACTACGAGTATAGCATTGTGTCCGGTAGTTAATATAGGAAGTCCTATAATAAGGTCTAGGGTAATATGTTGCTAGCGGTATTCGGGCACTAGTAACGGGCGAAGGAGACCTTGCTTTCGTTAGCGATTACTATAGGTACGTTTATATATATAGCAGTGTATAATATACCGAGCTACATCGCGACGTAATTTAGGCTAGTAATAGTAACGGCTAACTAGGTCGTATATGTGTTCTCGTCTAGGATGTCTAGCGCTCGGATAAGCGTAACAAGCTTCGATAATGCGTATGCGTAGGTTACGGGTGTCCGGAACGAACAGACTGTCTCGATAGTATAATAGGTTAGCGACAAACTCGCACTTAGAAGGTAACATTTAGTACAATGTGCTATCGGACTTTAACGGAGCGGTACGTATATCGAGACACTCTTTTATACGTAGGACCTGTTTGTCGTTATAGCTCGCGGCTACTATATTATCGAAGATAGATTTGCTATCGAATGTAACCGTAGATAACCGTAGTGCAGAGTCGAGGTTTCTAGGCTTTAAGACGACTTAGTATTGCGCGCGTATACGCTCGTCTACCGTATCCCTAACTATTAGTAGGTCGGCTAATCTACGAGTAAGACTATCCGGCTTAACACCTAGCTTTCCGGCTCGATAAGTAATTTAGAAACAGAAACGACTAAGGAACTCGCTCTACCGTGCTTAGCGACGACTAAGCTGTTTTGTTGTTATATAATATTCTAGGTTCTTATAGTCTATAAGTACCCTTATAATCTCTAGATAACCCTCGAGCTTACTGCGCTATTATTCGAAGGCCTTTACAATTGCTAATAATTCCTTATTATAGATCTCGTAGTTGCATTCTATAGGAGACATCTTGCTAGAGAAGTACGCAATAGGCTTCTAAGTCCCTCCGGTTGAGCTTTCGGCGTGCTACTATAATATAACACCTATAGCGACGTAGTCTAAAGCATCCGTTTCGACTATAATTAGTAGCGAGGGGTTATAGTAGGCGAGGACAGGTTAGGCTATAAAGGCGGCCTTTAGCGTATCGAAAGCCCTTTAACAACTGTTAGTCTATTAAAAGCGGTTCTTGCCGTCTCCTTTCTTAGTAAGCTCTATTAGAGGACGGGCTATTCGTAAGAACTTGTTAATAAAGCGTCGGTAGAAATTAGCGAACCTAAGGAACGCCTAGACATCCTTAATATTGCGAGGAGTAGGCTAATTGCGTATAGCATCTACTTTCTCCGGGTCTATCTTAATGCCTTAAGTCGTAACGATTAGTCTAAGGTATTTGACTTCCTGTACTTTAAATTCGCTCTTAGAGATGTCGCAGTGTAGGCCGGCTTTGCCTAGTATAGTAAGTATACGATCTATATAGATGCGATACTCCTCTAAGGAGTCTAAATAGATAAGGACGTTATCGAGGTACGTAGTATAGAACACATCGAGGTACGGAGCTAGCGTATCGTTAATATAGTGCTAGAATAATAACGGGGCGTTAGCTAGTCCAAATAGCATTACTAGGTATTCGTAGAGTCTATATCGGGTCTTAAAGGCAGTCTTCCATTTATCGCCCTATACTATTCGAAGGCGGTTAAAAGCGGAGATTATATCGAGCTTTATATAGTACTTAGCCCTACTAAGTCGTAACAGAGTCTCCTAGATAAGGGGAATTAGATAGGTGTTCTTTACCGTAATCTTATTAAGGCGGCGATAGTCGATATAGAAGCGCAATCTACCGCCTAGTTTCTTAACAAACAGCACTAGTAAGGATACTAGTAAGCTAGAGGCCCGAATAAACCCTTTCTTAAGATTGTCTTTAAGATAATCGCGTAGCACTTCTAGCTCCTTATATAACATTAAGTACAGAGGGCCGTGTTTTAGTTCCGTAGTAGTATCGATACGATAGTCGTAAGCGCGGTACGGAGGCAGGGTAGACGCGTTTTGCTTTAAGAACGTCGGAAGGTGATAGTATAGGTACGAAGGGAGCTTTATAGACGGATCGATATTCTTCTTCGCGGTAATAGCCTATTTAATATTACAAAGGGATACGGCAAAGACTTAGTAGCCTTTCTTAGTAGAGAGGGTATTAAACGGCGCGGCTCTAATAGTATAGATACCTATTGCTCGTGCTTTATATACGACGGCAATAGCGGAAGGGCGTATCGGAGCTTTTAGTATAGG